TGGTCCCCCATGCAGCAAATGAAAATGGGCAAAACGTGTTTTCTCCCAACATGATAGCTATCTGAGGATGGCCGAAGGCGTGAGTTCTGCCATTCTGCAAGCACAATGTCGACACCAACGTCCTTTTCGTCGTCTCCCGCTGCGACGCCGTCGCCAGCTCCTACATTAGCAGGCTCTTCGCTGTCAAGTACATCTGCTCAATATTCCCATCCTCCAGATGAGTTTGTCCAGGACGGCATCACATACGTGAGGCGCGGGAGAATCGCAAGCAAGGGGTACCGACTGGGCTCGTCACATATCTGGAAGTATGGCCTCCAGTATGTTCGAGGTAGTGATAAAAAAGAAGTGTATTACTGCCACGAGTGTGTGGTCGGCAAGCACGAGCAAGAATTGTTTGTCATCAACGGCACTACGAGAGTCAGGAGTCATCTTGAGCAAAAGCATCAGATTGACTCCTTCACTGGCATGAAGAAAAGCTGCGCACAGAAATCGGTTTTTGATCAGCAAAAGGATGGAGCTGCTTCCAATGTCTTCTTCTGGAAGGACTCGATTGACAAGTTCAAAGAGTTGCTCATCCGCTGGATTGTATGCTGCCACATCGCCTTCTTTCAACTGGAAAATCAGTATTTCCGGGAGCTTCTCTTCTTTCTGAATCCCGCGTTGATGAAACACCTGCCCAAGGCAGCGCGGACGATTCGAAGCTGGGTAATGAATGCTTTTGTGTCAAAGAAGCAGCAACTTATGGAGGAGCTCCGCCAAGCGCGCAGCAGAATCTCTATATCTTTTGATCTCTGGACCTCACCTAATGCTTATGCTGTTCTTGGTGTCGTAGCAATGTGGATTGACGCCACTGGTAGGCGACGATCTACTGTGCTAGGCATGCGGCGTGTCTATGGCGAACACAGCGGCGAGGCGATCGGATCCATCATTCTTGAGTTATTTAAAGAATACGACGTTGGCGGGGAGTTGGTTGGGTACTTCATGCTAGATAACGCATCATCAAACGACGCCGCCGTGGAGTTCATTCTCAAGGACCTTTGCCCGTGGATGAGCCCTAGGGAGCGTCGCCATCGGCGGCTTCGCTGTTTAGGCCACGTCATCAATCTCTGTTGCCAGGCGTTTCTCATGGGCCGAAACTGTGAGAAATATCTCGCAAAGCTGGAGAAGCATCATCTGCGCGGTGATTATGCAAAGGTGGAGGAGCTGTGGAAAAAGTTTGGGTGTTTAGGTCGCCTCCACAACCTGGTGCGTTACATCAGGCTCACCCCCCAACGCCGTGAAGAATTTGCTTCAGTCGTGATAGGCGG